AAATAACTCAAAGACCATAGTGGACGACTTAAAATTACAGAACTCTTAAAAGAAAATATAAGGGCACATCTTTATAATTTTGGATTTTTGATGTGTCCTTAGATAAAACACCAAACATAGTACTACCCATTTCTCTTTTGGCATTGCCAAAGCTGAGGCCAAATAATATTGTATGTGTGATTTTATTTTCTTTCAGTTCAGTGTATTTTCATTGCCATTAAATCTTTATTATTGTTGCATGGATTACTTCTTATTGTGTTGTTCATAGTATTATTTTGTAATCATATCATAGTATATTATGCTTAAAAATAAAAATAACAAAATTAGAATGTATAATAAAGTATGAAGATGCAATATGCCTAAATACATGTATCTAACAGTAAGTGAAAATATGCACTTTAAATATGGTGACTTGGCAAAGCTAAAAATAAAAGTAGTGAAAATATTAGGAAAAGGTGAACAAATTAAAACTACAATTGTGGTTTAATATTAAACAGATGAATTTGGGGCAGAAGGCACTGGGATCAAGAATATTTTGTAATGCTAAAAACTAAAATTCACAAAAAGGGTAAATGAGAAATATCCGTGCTTTAAATTACATAGCAAATTCACAAAGGAAAAAAGAAAAAAGAAAAACACACACAAAAATAAAAATAATAAAAGCACAGCCATGGTTGGAAAGGTAATTCATTTTTCCTCATTCATAACCAATCAAGGGATCCAGATTCAAGTGAGGCTGTAGAAGACCTAAATAACATAATTGAGAATGTAGCTCTAGTATATATGACAGGACACATGCACACATCCATACACAAGTATGTGCAAACTCAGATAAAGAAAATGCGGTATACCATTCAGGAATATAGGGAAGCACTGACTGTATATTAGGCAGTTAGAAAGAACCCACCTTTCTGTAATTTCTAAAAACTGCCTTAGTAGTTCAGTTATCAGTACTGACCTGCTAGGTTCTTAGGACCAACCTTCCCCAGTAAGAGAAACTAAAAAGAACTAAGTGAAATATAAGGAAAAAGCAAATAAACAGTTTTCTTACAATGGAAAGTCATTGATTTCTCAAGCTCTTCAAGGTACTGGAGAATTCAGACAAAATCCCGAGAAGGCAAGCACCCAACACCACAGCCCACTTACAAAGAGCGTCTGCCAGCTGGAAGAAGAAAAGGCCAAAGTGAGCTGTGCTTTGGGTCTTGAAGGGCGAATGTAGCAAAGGCAAAGCCCAGACCCCACAGGACAGCAGGCCACCTCAGTGGTCTGGCCAGCTGTCCTCAGGAAGCGTCTCTCTTGCCAAGCTCTCCTGGGGCACACGGTAAACAGCAGCCAGCATGGCACCATTGACTTTGCAGGAATGAACATGGCTGCTGGGGCAGCAGCATGAAAGTGAAAACCAAACCCAGATGTCCCTCTTGCATGTAGCCAGTTCGTGAGGGGATAGCACCTTTCAGTGAAACTCCAGCTGCTTTTTAGCCCTCACATCTCTCCAAGGCAACCCTGCCCAGGAATAGATCCATTGTCCGTTCTTGAGCCCATCTGTGTCTGCTGTCAGCACAAACACCCTCCAGACTTCTCATTCCAGCCAGCCGTGTTTCAAGAGCAAATTATGGGAATACTTCCATGGAATAGATGGTATGTGCTGACAAAGGGGAATTTAAAGTAGTATCATTAAACTGCTGTCAAGTCATTCAAGTTGCTCTGAGGAACCCATAGGAGAAAGCAGGTGTTTGTCTAGCGAGACAGACCTGGGGGTGGGAAGGCAGGTTGGAGAAGGAAGCCGGCCCTGCTGTCTGCTGACATGGGGAGGGGCGCCTCACAGTGAGCCCACTTCTCTGGAGAGACGTCAGGAGGTTCGTGATCTGCAGCCCAGGATCACATTGTCCAGTGGTGTACAGTGACCGTCAGGTAAAGCTGAGAACATCACACGTGCGGTCGCATGCCTAATGGCTGGCATGCTCTCCCCGAGACTGAGGGGGTGAGATCCAAGCCCCACTTTCTCTTTGAGCAACAGATTTGACGTTATGAGACAGAACAGTTAAGGCAGAAATCCAATTACTGAGCTAATTAGCACTTTGAGTGGTAAGCACCGAATGTGCAGGAAGAAGTTACTAGAGTGAGGCTCAGATTGCCCAGAGTGGCTGACTCCTCACCTTCTGAGGGAAGTGGTGGAGAGCCAGAAGCCCTGGGGTCCCCGGTGGCCTTGCAGAAACATTGCTCATCAGAAGTTAGCACTGTGCATTCCAAGTAGGCTATAGCTTTTGAAAAGACAGCTTTCCAGTGGATGTTGTTTCAGAGGGTGTTCTCGTTCCCTAAGGAGCCTGGTAAATGACTTTCTTTTGGCTCATTCCCACTGTAAAAATTGTTTATTCTGCTGCTAAAAATTCCATTTGTCCTAGGTCTTAAGGTGAAATTAAAATTCCATTTAGGGACCGACCATGCAGACATGGGATTTCAGCCTTCATTAGGAAGAAATTTGTTGTTTGCTTTATTTTTTCACCACCCTGGGCTCTTTTATTTCCAGAGTTGCCATGAGGGTATTTGGAAGGAAAATTGAAGCAGTGGCAGAGTGGTGTGAGCAGGGGGCATATGGCCTTCTGGAGATGCAACAGAATCACCCCGTTCTCCAAGCCATCCATGGGATTGGTTTGACCTAATTCACACAGGCTCTGGCCCAGTGGTTGTCCAGTGACTAAGGCAGGCATGGACAAAAAACTAGAGGTTCCCCACAATGAATGTAAGGCTTTTTATTTATCTATTCAGATTGTAATTCCACCCCAATATCTCTTTGTCTGCTCTGATTCCCACAAGACAAGTTCACAAAGGAGGTACACATTCAAAAATCTCTTTTTAGGTACCATTCCTGACAAATACCTGCCATTTGTTAAGTCACAGGTAGTGTCAATGGTCACGCTTAAATGTAAGCAAATTAGTGGCACCAACTGATAGCCAGTCTCTTTCTTCCTGCAGGTGTCATGGGACAAAACCCACACCCTTATCTTTGTTCATTCATTCAGCAAATACTTACGGATTACTATGTGCCAAATGAAAACCAAGTCTTGCCGCTATGGCATGTAGAGTCTGGCTTAAGAGATACATATCTATCTCTTAATCTGGAGAATATCTATATCTATATCTATATCTATAGTCAGATAAGCACACAGAGACATGTAGGATGTGGTGTGGAGTGAAGGCTCCAGAGCCAGCTGCCCTGGGTTTGAATCCTGGCTCCATCAGCTAGTCTGCTGCCTTGTGTGCTTTATATTTCTCTGGCCCTTGACTATGTCCTTTGTAAAAGCAGATGTGACAGCAGCACCTGCCTCAGAAGGAAATTGTGTCAGTACAATGAGCCAGGACCTGGAAAGATCCCAGACCAAGTGCACACCACAAGCAGGTGCTACATGAGCACAAGTGGCCCCCATTGTTGGTGATATTAATCAAAATCCTCCCATGTGGAGAGGTAGGATGTACCAAAGAGCACAGACAAAGACCAGGCCTGGTGCTGCACACTTGTAATTCCAGCATTCTGGGAAGCTGAAGCAGGAGGATCATGAGTTCTGGCCCAGCCTGGGCATTTTGGAAGACCTTGTTCCAAAATAAAAAAATGAATAAGGCTGGGATATAGCCCAGTGGAAAATCCCTGGGTTTAATCGCCAGTACAGAAAAGAAAATGAGAAACAAACAAAAGGAGCACAAAGAAGGGAGACAAGGGTCACAGCAGCTTCCAAACAAAGCAAGTGGTGGAGACATGAGGGATGAGAAACTATAGAGAAACAATGAGGGGGCAGGAAGGGACAGTGCAAGGAGAGGGAACCACTGTCGCAGATGAGGAGGAGGAGGATGGTACGCAGAGCTGGAGCGTGGGCACGGTGAAGAGGGGACAAAGGAGGACTCCGTGGCTAGGTTCTGGAAAGCAAAGGGCAGGATGACCAAAAACGGGGCCTGGTGAGTTACAGCTGGGCTTTCCAACATGTCAGTGGACCTTCAGTATTTCACTCTGTGCAAACCCTGTCCTCAGTGCTGACATGGTTCATTTGAAATTCCTTTCTCAGTGGCTAACATGTCAGGTTGGACAACATAAGACTGCCACTTTTGTCACTGTTGAAAGTCATCGGTTTTAGAAGCTTGATACCAATTTCTTATTCCATCACTGAACAGATGAAGAAAACACAATGCTACCTCTGAAGAGAAAAGGCAGAGCTAGCAGAGCAGACCCTGACTCTTACAAAGAGTTCTGGGGATGTGTGGCACTTGAGACCTGAAGTTGGAGAGTACATGTGGGTTGTCTGTATCTGTGAGAGGGTCACTGGGACAGGCTGTTGTTGATGGGCCCCCTCTCAGAAGTCTAGAATGAGCCTGTCCCTCATTGCTGACTCTCAGAAGCAAGCGGTGGTCACTCAGGAGCTGGATGGATTTCCAAAGCTGTGAACCAAGGTGAACTGTCAGGGAGGGATCATGTTCAAAACTGGTTCTGGTGACCATTTGTCATGGTAGCTGCAGACCACCTGTCTCCTCCTACGTTTGTAAGAGGTATTTTTATGTTAAAAGTTCAACCTGAGAAATGTCTGTACGAGTGTGCTCAACTCATGTGAGCAAGGGCAGGCAGCGAGGACTAATGTTCTAGATCAGTCTGGAAAGAGAAATACCCATGTGAATGAGCGCTGTTCTCAGGTCCTAAAGGTAAGGAGCTTTTCCTGGAAGTTCATACTCATAATTTTTACCCTGTGGATCTGGAGCTCAAAGTTGTTTTGGACACAAGGCCATCCTCTCAAGTCAGAGAACCACCCATCTCTCCCTGGTGCATACGTCTGGCATCTCTCCTCCCTCTCTTACAGTGAGACTCCCCTCTTTCTACAGCACCCTCCAATTAAAGTGCTTCACCCACTTTAAGCATGGTCTCTTCTAGGCTTTCTGCTCTCTCACTTGGCTCTGTCAACCAGCTGTCCAGTGGGGCGGGTGCTAACCATGACCTTCTACTCTTTTGTGGCCCCTTCCAGCACGAGGCGAGTGGACAATTCCAACACAAGATTGGCGGTCCAGATTGAAAGGGATGCAGGTAAGAAGATCTTTCGCTACCTTCTTTTTCTTCTTCATCATTTTGTTAGATAGATGGATCTCTAGAGGGGAAATTAAGTACACCTTTTTTAATCATGGTGGAGAAAATGGATATCTTGGTAAATGTGCCAACTGTACAATAGATCTAAGTAAGCCAACTGATCAAGCAGCCTGATTTGATTTGGAAATGCATTCCTCCATTATTTAGACTTTATTAGACACTTATTCAGTATTGAATGGCTGTTAAGACATTTTATTTTGTGTATGGCAAACATCAAATACAAAGTGTAAACCTTGGGATTGGTCTTTTAGAAAAAACATCAGCCTTCTACTACCTTTAAAGATAAACCATTCCAGGAACCAGGTTCAAGAAGCTTTTGGCAAAAATTAAGCTATAGAAGGATTTACCTGCTACAAAATTATTTGACTTTTTTCTTTCTATAGTCTATTTTATTTTTAGCCAATTTATCTCTACCTTTCTCTTATGATAATGCAGGTTTCCAATTGTAATTTTAAATGAGGGGTGGATATTTTTGGAATTATAGACATCACGTCTTCCTTTGTGCCTAGGATTTTTTCTTAAAAGAGTTGTACCATGACATTATCAATACCATTATTAGATGCTCTGGTGACTCCGTGTGAATTAAAAATATCATTGAGTTGAAAATGTATGTAATACCCCTAACTTACAAAACTTTGTAGCTTAGCAAGAAAGCATGCTGGAGGGTCAGTCTTTTCCCCATGTGATTACAAGTCTGGCTGGCAGCTGTCCAGCATCATGAGAGCGTCAGACCATGTATTGCCAGTCAAGGAAACGATCAAAATTCAAAATCTGGAAAATGATTTCTACCAAACCTATCTTGCTTTAACATCATTACAAAGTTCAAAATTGTTAAGTCAGGGCCAGCCTTATTTGAATTGCATAGATGTGATTAATATAAAATCAGAATTAAAAATTTTAAAGTACGTGGAGAGCCAAGCTGATTGTTTATAGAACCTTCCGTCATACAACAGAAGAATTAGGGGCAATAGAACCCTCTTGGTGTACAACTGTGGCACTCGTGACACTGAGTGGCCACCAGTATCATCCATGTGGACAGTTACATAAGCACATAACGCTTTCAGCTAATCATAAGTATCCTTTCATTTTCACTAATTATGCAGATATGTGGTCAGTGTGTGCTAGGGAGGTACCCACAGTCCAATCTCTACTTTTAATGATTTTAATTGGCTTGTTTTATTCAAATGTCAAATAGTTTGAACATTTAAGCAAAGGTTAATTTTCTCATTTAGGTCTTTCCTTTAAAATACTGCAGTCTAAAAGTCATCTTTAATTAGTGTCTTGGGATGCCTGTGATTCATCTCAGAAAATGAGCATGAGAGCAGGTCAGGCAGCTTCCTGTGTGGAGAAGAGCAAGGCAACTGATGCTTTATTCAACCACATGGCATGCTCAGCCCACTGTCCAGGTTCTCCCAGTGGTCATCGCTGTGTGATAAATGTGCCACTGTCAGTGCAGCTTTTAACCACCGTGACAGACCAGCAAAGATCCTCTCTATCACATAGTCTTCCCTTAGTGACTTCTTAGCAACAGGCTGTGCTCGTCTTCGTATGTAAGTGAACTTGGGACATGTCTACCTTGCCAAACCCATCATCCTGCCCTGTGTCCCATCAGCACAGAGCAGGGTTCTTCAATGAGAACTGTTACCTTGGATTTTCCAGAACCTGTTTCTACTCCAGTAGAAAATGCAGAGGGAGCTTAAATTTTAACTTCTAAGTATTTCCTCTTTAGAGCAATACTACATCTCTCTGACTTTCCAGAGCCAGCATTTCTACCCCAAAGAATAGCTGCTTCTAAAATAGAAACCCTAAAATAAATTCTTCTCTTCTAGCACTTCTGCCCAGAGGGCCATAGACCGGGAGATTTTCTAGTTTTTCAGTCTTTAAAAGCTTGGGATATAGCTCAGTGGCACAGTGCCTGCCTGCCTGGCAAGCACAAGGTCCTAAATTTGATTCCTGGTACCAAAAAAAAAAAAAAAAAAAGAATAAAAACTTGTATCCCTCAGCTTCAGAGAGTCCAGAGAGGAAGACACCAGGAGTGTCCAGCAGAGAGAACATGGAAAAGATACAGCACACCCCAATTTACCCCGTCCATGCGCACCCTGACCTTCTACTGGGAAGCAGGGTATCTGAAGCCCCATCCCCTTTCTTCATCCTCCCTGGGCATCCCCACCCTCCAGTTAGAATACCTGCTGTTGTCACTGCACCAGTTCCTGGGTACCAGGAGGAGCTGGAGTTCTGGGTCTTTGCTGGGCACACAGAAGGGCACAGTCTCTGTGGAGTGCAGCCTTCCCACTGTGGGTGTTCACTCCAGAGGACTCTAGTCCTGTCTTAGTAACTCCTATCAGTGAACATCCGTAGAAGTTTTACCCATAATCACCCAAACTGGGTACAACCCCAAGGTTCCGCAGTCCACAGCCAATAAACTGCAGTGAAAAGGACTAGTGTTTTGCAGGACTAGAAAGCAGGACTAGAAAGCAGGACAAACACATGCACACAGCACGGAGGGTGCCAGGTCTTAAGTATGGCCATGCAGTGGCTTGCCTTTCTCAAGACTGTTGGAGTGGAGCACCGGGAAGGACAGCTTTCACTCTCTGTAAAGTGTTCTTCAATTAAGCAGGCTTTGTCTGCATATGTAATTTACAAATAAGTGGCACCAGTTTATACATAGAAAATGATCATTTACATATATGTGTATATATAATTTCTTTTTACATTTAAATTATAATATATAAATACACATCATATGTAACACAATTATTGCTAGTATTACACATTATATACAATATGTATTTATATACATATATATTTATGCTGCTTAATATTTGTAAATTATACCTTAATGAATTTAATAAAAATATATCCTGGAGTTTCTTGAGGTACAAGTAACTTCATTGATTTATATTCTGGAAAGCAAAGGGTGGGATGTGTGTGTATTCCTAGAAACATTTCTCTTAAAGTATTATCTATGTTGTCATCCATTATTCAATGGATATTTAGTTAGTTCCTACTATAGGTTGCAAATTTTGCCAGCACTATACTAGGATACAAACATCAGCAAATTCAGATTCAGCAATAAACCTATGTTTATTGAATTTATGGCACAGTAGAGAAAACATTGCAATCAAATAATTGTATACCCATGTATACACAAAACAAAATTCCAGCAGTGAGAAGTGCTTTGAGGAGGACCACAGCGCTGAGAGCCTGTAACCAAGAATCTCCTGGCTAAGGGGTTAGAGGGGCAGCTTCCAGGAAGTCTGAGGAACAGCAGCTGATAAGCCAGAGGGCATGAGGGAACATCTTGGGTGGGGAGAGCATCACCAAAGTACAGGGTGGAAGGAACACCTGGGTCACTGGACTGGATGCAGCTTTGTGTTGAGTGAAGAGGAAAGACCTCTTGAGCCCCTAGGAGCTGGGTGACGCAGGACAGCCTAGCTCTCACCAGTGATTGACAAAGTCTCCAGTCACCCTATTGCAGGCCAGGTCAAGAAGTCCCCTCTGTCTTAGGGGCACTGAGAAGGGTTAGGAAGTGGGCTTGGACGGTACTGAGTATCATGTTCTGCTTTCAATTTGGAAAGCTCATCCTGGCTGCAGGTAGAGAAACTTGCCTGGCAGGTCCTGGTGAACAGTGAGCTACAGGGCCAAGGGTGTGGTCCACAGGAGAAATATTGCTGCTTTTGGATATGGGGTAACCGAGATAGACAAAGGGAGGAAGATTTTTAAAATACACAAAGGAGATAAAATGGAGTAGAAAAGAAAGTCCCTCTCTGTGGGTGCATGGATGGCGATGTAATTGCCAGGTGGCAAAGGTGGGTAATGGGTTCCCTGATTTGTGGAGACTTGGCAGGAGATGTTAAGAAGAGGCACAGGTCTAGAGCTCAGGAGTCTCAGTTGGAGATAGAAATTTGTCACTTGCAATAATTTGTCACTTACCAATCCATGTATAAAGAGGATATTGCCTCAGAGATTCTAGAGCAAAAAAAAATAACTCTCATATAATTCACTAACGTGAGTAAAGAACAAGTCTTTCTATGTACACGAAAGGCCTAATTTTACCTTAATCTAATGACAAATTGGGCATCCCAGGTGTGAGTACGCACTGACCATACTTCTTGTCTGTCTCTAGGGGGTGATGACAACAACCTCAATTCCATCTTTTACGAGCATCTGACCAGGACACTTCAGGAGTCCCTCTGTGGAGACTTGGTTCTTGGTCGTTGGGGAAACTACAGCTCTGGTGATTGCTTTATTCTGGCTTCAGATGACCTCAATGCCTTTGTCCACCTGATCGAAATTGGCAATGGTCTTGTCACGTTTCAACTCCGAGGACTGGAATTCCGAGGTACGCATTATCATTATAGCTGCAGTTGGGACTCAGCTGCATGCAAAGTGTTAGTTAGAAGCCATTATGAGAGAGGGAGAATTTAAGCCAGGCATGGTGGCTATAATCCCAGTACTGTGGGAGGCTGAAGCAGGAGGATTGCCAAGTGTGAGACTAGCATGGGCAGTTTAGTGACTTTGTGAGACTGCCTCAAAATGAAAAATAAAATCTGGGGATACAGGGAAGACACTGGGTTCAATCTGTAGTACCAAAAAAAGGTGGGAGATTTAATGCTTGACATTTGAATGAGAATTGGGGGGCTGGTAACCACTACCTCTAACAAGGTGTTCTGGTATAAGCAAACCCAGACAGCTGGGGGAATAATGACATGAAACATCATCACATGTACACCTGTGAACAAGCAAAGCAGGACACTGGTGTGTTTGATCCTTCTGAGAAAGATTCGGGAGCAGTTCAGGGATATAGCTCAGCAGCACAGCAAGTGTGAGGTTGTGAGTTTGATTCCCAGTACCAAGAAAAAAAAAACCAAACTCAGGAGCAAAGACAGGCCATAGAGTTCCTCAGATTCTAGTTGGAGTCAGCCAAATCCCCAAAAGATCTAGTTCTGCTATGCATAGATGTTGGGGTACACAAATAAGTCAGTGTTTCAGAGTTATTTTTTCTTCTGCATAATGATAATATAAGAATGGCTACCTTCAAGAGTTGTGTGATTGGAGAGGTTTCATGTATTAGTCTTTTTTTTTGGTACTGGGAATCGAACTCAGGACCTTGTGATTGCTAGGCAAGTGCTTGTGCTGCTGAGCTATATCCCCAATTTGTAGAAACTGCACGTAAATGAAGCACTACATGAATATTCATTGCTTCATGGCTACTGATTTGGCCCCAGTGTTTCTGTGACCCAGGAACTGGAGTTCTGTCGTGGAACAGGCAGAAAGTAAGATAAAGCAAGCAAGCGCATTTGTCACTGTGCTTGGAAGGAGGGAAATAGGGTTCTAAGAACAAAGTCACCGGAGAGGGTTGGCTGAGGAGGTGCCCTGATACCTTGCGTGAGACCAGCACGGGAGGCATGAGAAGGAGGGAGAAGGCTCTTAAGGGGTAGAAAATAAAATGTGCTAAGAGGGAGAATCAGGTCGCAGCCTGGGAGCACAACAGCCTGTAGCAGACGGAAGTATAGGTTGCAGCACAGCAAAGGGGAGGCCAGCAGCCGAGGAATGTGCAGCCCCTCAGCCAAGTCAGGGACCTGTGGGGCTCTGGAAAAGGAACAGCTGGCCCTCTCCACACTCTCAGAGATTGTTATGGCAGCTTTGTGCAGTGTCCTGGAGAGGGACAATAGGGGAAGTGAGAGACTATATGTGTGGTTTGCATTGTGACCTCTTAGCCAGAGATGACGGCAGAAATGGGCAAATGCTGAGACCCTCCGAGTGGAAACAGCAAGGCCAGATGCCAGGATACAAGAACCAGGCTCTGGATCTCCCCAGGGTTCCAGGTCAAGTGGCTCTGTGGGCAGAGGTACAAACAGGGAGGTCTGGACAAGGAGCAGGACCCTCTAGCTCAGAAAGGGAGGTGTCATCAAAAGGTCCTTTTTGGATATTTTTGTTTTAAAATCCTTTGACTTGTCCAGTAAACACATCAAACAGTCATTTGGACACAGTGCTTTTGTTCATTTAGTAGTCATTGGTTGGTGCTGACTCTGTGAGCACTGGGTAAGTACCTTGGGGGCAGAGCAAATGCCTCAGCCTCAGGGAACATGGAGCCCCAGAGTGGGCAGCCCTGTGAGGGGCAGTCACTGCTACTTGAGGCGACTGTCATGATAGCATCCCACCCCGGCCACCACAGGGACCAGAAGAGGGTTTTGGGATCATGTCTGGTAGGGTCAGCCAAGCACAGGAGAGGATGAGGCTGGGTGGGGAAGAGGAAGGACTTTCCTTGCCTGTGACGAGTGGGATGATGACCAAGAGGCGCCCTGTTGTTAGCTGTGATTTCCACCAGCTGGTTGTAAACATGTGGGCAGAGACAGTGCTACAGAAGTGAGCAGGTAACACCTTGTAGCTGTCCAGAGCCTCTTTGTGGTCAAAAAAAAAAATGCCTTTTAGCCAACAACAAATTGCCATCATTCTCCATCTTGAATACCATTACTAAAAATAATCAAGTCTCCCAGTTCTGTGGATAAAAATTTTTAAGCATTAGGTGTTTTTTTTTGTTTTTGTTTTTGGTACGGGGAATTGAACTCAGGACCTTGCATTTGCCAGGCAGGTACTTGTGCCTCTGAGCTATATCCCCTGCCCAAGCATTAGTTTTGTGGATGTATAAATTTGTACAAAATGATGTTTCTTCTAGCGCAGTGGGCTCCATGTTTCAGGTGTGCACTCTCTGTCTTTCTTGGAACTTCAGGAGTGGAGGGAAGAAAGGTCACTGGGCAGAACAGTGTCAGACTCCCCAGAGGAATGGCAGAAGCTGGGTTCCATCTAGATTTTGCATAGGTGCCAGAAAATGCACCAGAGGTAGTAGGAACTAAGTCTCTCCAGTGTGGTAAGGTAGCAGAATCTCCTCTGAAATTCTGAATCTCAGCTATTTTGAGAGCTTTTTAGTTTTTCTTTGAATTTGAGGGTAGAAGTTTCAAAGCTAATCTAGTGGAACTTGAGTATGGTTTCTATCACAAGTTCCTCAGTTTTCAACCTCATTAGCAAACTTAACCCTTGTGTGAGTTTAAAGGGTTTTAAATGGATTAGATTTTAGAAGTTTGTGGTCCTTTTCTGTCTGCAGCTCCTCATCACAGACAGGGGTCCTTCCTAATCTGTCCTAGTAGATGTTTTGGTGTTAGCTCCTGTCAGTCATCTCTTGGGGCGTAACAAACCACTGCAGAACCCGCGGCTTGGGTTGACACTCCTGTGCTCTCAGTATTAGTGGTTACCAGTTACGCTGCAGCGCCTGCCTGAGGCCACAGATGCTCTGCATTCAGCTGTCAGCTAAGCCAGCCTGGAAGAGACTCAGGGTTCTATATAAATCATCCAGGATTCTCCAGGGAGCTGGACTAGATGTCTTCACTGCTAGTGAAGCCCAGTGATGCTGGGTTCCACAAGGAACACTGTAAGTTTTCTTAAGGCCCAGACTCTCAGGCTGCTTCTGCCATGTACTGGTGATCAAAGTCATTCCCGAGGACAGTGTGGATTCAGGAGGGAGAGGAAGTGGCTCTGCCACATTGCACTGCCGTGTGGTGGCAGAGAGGCATGCGTCATGGAGGTCGGCATTACAACAATGCCCCAGACTCCTGAAATGTCACCAGGTGAGACACACAAAGTGATGGATGCCCTGCCCAAGATGGGCTATGGCGGCGTAAGGTGGGACTGCCTGGGAGCCCTCTCTGTTATGGCCTCTTGGTTCATCTTCTTCCATGGCAGGAATGTCATCTGGCTGCAAGATCTTACCAGCACAGTAACAGCACTGACGAAAACTGCTAATACAGTCTGCCCCGATCCCTCTCACTCTCACACCAGAGGTGTTCTTTGACTCAGATCATACTTTGGAACCCAGGAACATTAAAAGAGCATGTGTCTGGACAGCTTGACTTATGCTTTTGTTGCAGGAAGTGTAGCAGACCTGCAGTGACTACTTAATTATATCTCTTTGCAACACATACTATGGTATTCCCAGGGAGAGTCTCCTTTCTGTTACCTTCCTGAGTATTGTCCTAAATTTTCTTTCCCCACATTTCTCTTTTCTTTTTGAATTCCCTATTTTCCCAAATAGCAGTCTTTATTTTGGATAAATTTAATTAACTTCTGCATAGCCTGGGGCAGTTAACAAACAGATGAGTTGGTCTTTCTCTCCCACAGTCCACAGGAGGAGCCAGCAGTGGGAACAGGAGCAGTTCATGTGCAGCCACTGAGGCCCTGGCTCTTTTACCCTCTCCCTTTTTAAAAATCTGTGTTGGGGAACAAACCCAGGGCCTCTCACATGCCAGGCAAGTGCTCTACCTCTGAGCTACACCCCAGCCCTGGCTTGTTTTCTAGAAGTGAAAGACACACCTGGAGTAAGGCCAGCTGTTCTTTTTCCCTTGAAAGGATCCAGAGTGAGGAAACTGTCCTTTTTCCCTTGAAAGTGATCCTACTTGTCAATAGGCTTTCTGCACCACAAGACACAGAAGGCAACTCTAGCCACCTTAAACATAAAAAAGACTTAGAGGATGATGTGTCAAAGGGCACGGACTTGTTGACTAGGCTGGTGGAATATGGTTGTGGCTACTGGACAAGTGCCAGGTCCAAAATCCCACTGCAGCTGGAGAAAGGCCTTATCTGCACAGTGGATCCAAGTTCTGCCCTCCCTTGGCCCACACCATGGTCCTGGACACTGAATGCTTCTCTTCCCAGAAATTGGATGGACTGCCTTGCTTCCATCTCCCTTCCAGAATGTACTCCCTTGGCCTTGCTTCTCTGCATTCCTATTCTATTCATTTTGGCCCATGTACCCGGAATAAAAATAAATTCTTTTCTTGTTAAGCTAAGAAATCGGGACCAAAGTTCCCTTGTTGCTTTTTGGTTCACAAGTACTCCTTGCATCCACCAAACCAGGGAGCCTTTAAGGGCTGACACATCAATCATTGCTTTAAATGTAAGTCAGAAGGCCAACAGGGGTAGGAACACCAAGTTCAATGTTTTCCAGAAAAAAATGGAGTCTGTGGGGTTGTAAATCTCAGCTAACCGTCATTCAAGTAGATAGACACGGAAAGATGAAAAAGTGAGAGCTGATTATCTGTTCAACCCATTTCTGTTCTTCCCTAGCCAACCAGGTGGCCTCCACTGATGGCTTGGCTATGTCTATGAGAAGAGAATATAAATCAATGAAGCGTCACTGTGCTGCCAACAGCAGCACAGGCCACTTGGGAATATGGCCTGAAGAAGAGGTTTGAGACTGGTACTTAGAGAGGGGAAGCAATTTTGGTAATCTAAGTCTAGAATCATCACCATAGGGAGAGAGGGAGGAAGGAGAGAGGGAGAAAAAAA